GTCTCGGTGGCTCAGCCTGTCATCCCCGCGCCTTTGGGAGGCTGAGGTGAGTGGATTGCCTGAGCCTGCGGGTTCGAGACCCACCTAGGCAACTTGGCGAGACCTCATCTCTACAATAAATCAAAAAAGAAATCAGCCGGCCGTGGTAGCGCGCGCCCGTAGTTCCAGCTACTCGGAAGGCTGAGGCGGAAGGATCGCCAGAGCCCAGCGGGTCGAGGCTGTGGTGGCCAGGAGCGGCCACTGCACTCCAGTCTGGGCGACAGAATGAGACTCCAACTCAAAAATAAAAACAAACAAACAAACAAAAAATAAAAAAAAAAAAGCATTTATCCCACCAGGCCCAATGCCAGTCTCAGGGAAGCAGAGGCAAAAAAAAAGAGTGCTGGTGACAGAGAGAAGGAAGTGGCACCACATGCGGAGATGGATCCCAGGAACAGGGAAGCCAGAGGGGTCAGTGGGGGCTGAGATCCCCACGTCCTGCCCACTGGTGTCCCTGGTCAGCTCTCGCTCTCTGTCCACAGTGCAAGGCCCCCGCCAGAGTTTGTCCTGCCCAGGTCTGAAGAGAAGCCAGAGGCGGCGTCAGCTGAGATCAGGTCTGTGTGCAGTTGACCATGGGGTGAGAGTCACACCAACTAGGGGAGACCAGAGAGGAAGATGGACCCTGGTCGAGGGTCGCAAAACAAAACGGGGTGATCCCTCAGCCTTGAGCCTGTCTGTAGTCCCAACTACTCGGGAGGCTGAGGTGGGAGGATCGCCTGAGCCCAGCGGGTGGAGGCTGTAGTGAGCTGTGATCACACCACCTCACTCCAGCCTGGGTCACAGAGTGAGACTGTGACTAAAAAAAAAAGAGAGTTTAGCCGGGTTCAGTGGCTCAGCCTGTAATCCCGCGCCTTTGGGAGGCTGAGTGAGTGGATTGCCTGAGCCCGTGGGTTCGAGACCCACCTGGGCAGCGAGACCTCATCTCTACAATAAATCAAAAAATCAGCCGGGTGTGGTAGCGCATGCCTGTAATTCCGGCTACTAGGAAGGCTGAGGCGGAAGGATCACCGGAGCCCAGCAGGTCGAGGTGCGGTGGCTGGGAGCGGCCACTGCCCTCCAGTCTGGGCGACAGAGTGAGACTCGAACTCAAAAAAAAAAAGAAAGAAAATGGGCCGGACTCGGTGACTCACACCTGTAATCCCAGCACTTTGGGAGGCTGAGGCAAGAAGATTGCCAGAGCCCACGGGTTCGAGACCAGCCTGGGCAACTCAGCAAGACTTTGTCTCTACAATAAATCCAAAAAATTAGCCGGGCGTGGTAGCACATGCCTGTAGTTCCAGCTACTTGGGAGGCTGAGGCTGAGGCAGAAGGATCACTGGAGCCCAGCCGGTCGAGGCTGCGGTGGCCGGGAGCATGCTCCTGCCCTCCAGCCTAGGCGATGGAGTGAGCCTGCGACTCCAAAAAAAGAAAGAAAGAAAGAAAGAAAATGCCCAGACTCCCAAAAATAGGCGAATAATGCCAAGCCTCCTTCTGTCTCCCCCAGATCTGCTTCAGAAACAGACGATCAGGAAACAAGGTGGGTATGATGCAGGGTAGTCTTGGTGGCTTCTTTGAAATGCCCTGAGCGGAGCCTGGACCCCTGGAAGTGCCCGTGATTTCCTGAGGAGTCAGAGAGGCGGGGGTTACTGAAACCATTAGAGGTTTTCCCTTGGCGCCATTACTCAGACCATGAACACATAAGGCCCAGGGCTGTGCAGTGAAAGGGGACACAGAACCAGGCCCCAACACCCAGGGTATATCTCACGGAAAGGATTGGCCATCTGCCTCAGCCTCTCACAGGGTCTCCACCCGGCTCTGGGTGCCCAGAAAGCTTCCCTGGTTTCGGGGCTTCCCAAGACCACCCTCAGGTTCAGCGGTTGCTAGGATTCACAGAACTCAGCAAAGCTGTTATACTCACAGTTATGGTTATGACAGTGGAAGGAGGCAGAGAAAAACAGAGAGAACTGGGCATGGTGGCTCACACCTGTCATCCCAGCACTTTGGAAGGCCGAGGTGGGAGGATCGCTTGAGCCTGGGAGTTCGAGACCAGCCTGGGCAACAGAGCAAGACCTCGTCTCTACAAAAAAATCCAAAAATGAGCTGGGTATGGTGACGCACACCTGTAGTTCCAGCTACGTGGGAGGCTGAGGTGGGAGGCTATCGCCTGAGCCCAGGAGGTCCAGGCTGCGGTGAGCCATGATTGCACCACTGCACTCCAGCCTAGGCAACAGAGTGAGACCCTGCCCCAAAATAAACAAAAACAAAAAATCAGCAAAGGGAAGAGGTGCCCAGGGCAAGGCCCCGGAGAGACCAGGCAGAGGCTTCCAAGCGTCGTCTTCCATGGGGTTGCCCAGATGGCCCTCCATTCTCGCCACAAGGATCGTGGCAGGACACTTGAGTGCTGACAACCAGGAAGGCTCACTGAGCCTCGGTGTCCAGAGTTTTTTCTGAGCGTCAACTGCACACATGACTGCCTGCCTGCTTGGCCTGTCTTCCTCTCCAGCCCCACCAGAGATGGAGCTGATACCCCATAGCCCAAGTTCCCACCTTAAATACATTGTTAGCTTAGACTCTCTGGCATGACCTGGGGTCCCCAGATAAACAAATACACTATCAGAATGGATGGAGGGAGGGATGGATGGATGGATGGGTGGCTAGGTGG